TGCTTCTTAGCTGATATTTATCACGTAATTCTGTGAGAAAGTAGAGGCCTAAGATGCTCCAGATAAATGGCTCAATTAATTTTACAGAGGTAGACCTCTTTGAGCTGAACCAGAGCTGTGAGCTCTTTATTAAAAGCACTATTCTGTAGCCCATAACCTTGTTCCTTGACTCCTCTCTAGTTTCCAATTTAAACAGGTCCCCATGCGGCCTGCTCTAAAGGGCTTTGTCTCCCTGTCATTGTTAAGAGAGTTGAGGCATCCTGGAAGTGTGAAATCAGACCTCATGAGTTGAACGGTTCCCCAGGGAACGCTGGACTGCGCAGAAGGTCAAAGTCATGGGCTGGACCATCTAAAAGTGTCTGATCGCCGGTCTGTGACACAGCAAGTGGGGGTGGGGGGAAAGGGAGGACAGAGGAGGACTGAAATTGAACACATCTTAATTAAAGCTCACAGACAGCAAAACAAAATGTTTTCTAGGCAGCCTGTCAAATGGAGCTTAAATTTAGCTCTGCTAATGAATCTGAGCTGCTAACTGTTATTTCTTAAGATAATAAGACTCACACAGAAGCTGATAAAAAACTGTAGCATGTCTTTTTTGGCTGTTTTGTTACTTAAATATTTTCCAACAATGAAGACAGTTTTCCTAAAGAAAAGCTTGGGAAAAATCTATGTTAATAAAGGGATAGTAAACATCCCTCTTATTAACTAGTAGGTTTTTAGACTTTAAGGGCTGGGGGATTACAAGTCTTTATACATGGTCTTGTTTTAGAAAAATGTGCTTTATTTAATAAGACCATTCTAATGACAGTATTCATTGTAAAAGACTCTCTCTTTCTCTCTCTCTCTCTCTCTCTCTCTCTCTCTCTCTCTCTCTCTCTCTCTGTGTCTCATTTTGTGAACGAAACAGTGTATTAGTTTGAGAGATCAATTCACCTTCAGAGAAGGAGTTTTATATTAGTATACCTTTTAGTGTTGTGAAAGATAGGCCATCATTTGAAAGGGTTTCAGTCTATTCTCCCATATCTCAGTTTCTGAAATTGTGTGTCTGGCCTCCCTGGGGAAAAGATGACCTTTTCCATGGGAGGCTCAAACAAACCCAGGGGAAAATGATGGGGAAGAGCTGAAGAAAAGAATCCTTTCTTTCTTCACTTAGCTCTTGAAAGAATAATCCAGGACTAAATATTCTGAAAAAAAGGTTCATCTCAATACTGATGAGTATAAATCTGTCTGTTGAAAGATGATTTTCAGCCCTCCCATAGAAAAGGAACCATTAGAAGTTATAATAACTTCTAAAAAGAATTCTCATCCACTCAAGAAATTCCCCCCCCCCAAAGGCCCTTCACGTTTTTTGAACACAAGCCCTCATAACTGTTCCATGTTAAAGAGCATTTGACCTAAGGGTGTGGTGACTAGTTCCATGTAATTCCCAAGTTATACTGGGGTCATTTGGTCTAAAGGTTTTGGTTTGATGCACAGATAAAACATTAACCTTTTCACTGGAAAAGTTAAAAGGGAAATGAGTTGTTCTGAGCAGTATTTCTCAGTATCGCTGGTTTTCAAAGAAAAATTTCACAGCCCAACTTTAAAAACTGGAGTACCACTTTCTCAGGCTGCTCACAATTTGACAGAAATTTCAATCCATTCTTGTGCCTTGTTCAATGCATGTGTATGTGTGGGAGTTGTAAATTGAGGCCTTAACCAACACAGTTAATCTCTCTCTTTTTTTCAATTCAGTATTAACCTTAATGATTTGAAGTGCACTGTCCAACACTGGGCTATTGAGACTGAAGAAAAAACTACCCTCAACTATCAATAGTTTATTAGGGGCTTAACTGAAGTGACCTACTGTAGTAGTATTCAGCTGAACAAGGCTATAGGCTTTTTTGTGCAAAGGGAAAGAATTGAGGGTTTCATTAAAAAGTAATTTGTGCTTTATACTCACTCATTCAAAGGGAGTCTCAATTGCTCTTTATTCACACAGAGTTAATACAGTATCACAATGTTTCTCAATGAATGTGTAGTAACAAAAGAAAAATTTTACATTTTGAAAAGGAAAAATTCTTTGTAACTACAGTGAGATTGATGGCTACTTAAAAGATTACAAAATCTTTTCCTCTTATATTCATGCCTAATGATGTACTTTTTTCAAGTATTTGGTTTAAACTAAGGAATTTCAACTTACAGTTTTATATGCGCTATATATTTACATGACATGAACATACGAACACCAAGAAAGTGGAGCAAAGTTGTATAAGGGTGGGTTTCATTAGTTAAAATATATAGATTTCTAGAAAGCAATTAGCTAATGCCAACCCAAAACATCCTGAAACGACATCATTTGTAACCAATCAAATGCAAAAGTATACTTCATTCACGGAAAATATTGCTTCCATTAAGACATCCTATGCGGTGCCACTCATGTATTCTACCCTATGTACCTTAATTTTTAGGATATAAAACATAAATGTTTACTAAATACCTTCCTTTACTACTAAACCATTAATCCCTGTTTCATGACCCTTGTTTTTTTAAAAATACATAATAAATATGGCTTGGTACTTTGAAAAAAATGATGAGTTGTAATATTTTCATTCAATATGGATCTCATAATCTGCCGTGACACATACAATTGTTTTAAAAGCACTCTTTTGTACAGATCACAGATAAATCTTCAGAAAGCTCATTTCTTTCCCAGCTACAGCATTTAGGACCAAGAAGAGCAGGAATATTTGAAAGGTTTGTAGTACACCTGGCCATCACTGAGTTAAATATACGTCCCCCAATTTTTGCAATCAGCACAAATGTCATGCTGACCACAAAAGGTCTAGGAGTGAATAAGGTCAAAGACTAAATTACCCCTTTGCCCCTGGAAAGCTCAATCTTCTCTCTTTTTCAATCCAGACTACATTAGATTTTAAGGTCAAAACTGAGTGAGGAACCATCAGATTTATTTCTCCAAAAACATTAAAAAGGGGAGAAAAATCTGTGTAATAAAAATAAAATTGTGTCTAGTTGGATCTTGGGAAAGATTCTACTGTTATTCATGTTAATTTACATAGTACCATTAGGAAAGGAATATCTATATTCTTCCACCTGTGAAAGAACATGTTCCTTAACTTCCATAGTGGCACACAGGCCAACCAGGTTAACAGAGTTTGCATATTCATGAAGTTTTAACAGCTATGACAGCTTCTCTCTGAGAGAAGACAATCTCACGTTATTGTATTCAACCCCACTATGGGCAGGTATCTGAGCCTTCAAACACATGATGCTAGTATGAATTCATCAAAATAATTGTGCAAAAAAAATTGCCTTGAACTAAGCCAGAAAATAAAATTCCAACACAAGAGAAATGAATTATTTGGAAAACAGTCTTGATAGGAATCATTTAATACAAGAATACAAATCAGCACATTTATAATAATAATGATAATCTCTGACATTTATACAGTGACTACTATGTGCTGGCACTGTGCTAAAAGCTTTATAATTATTATCTCATTTGATCCTCACAATAATCCTGGGAGGTAGGTGCTATTATTATCCCCATTTTACAGTTGAAGAAGTTGAGGCGTACAGAGGTTAAATGACTTGCCCAGGGTCACATAGCTAGGAAGTGTTTGAGGCCACATCTGAATTCAGGTCATCTTGACTCCTTGTCTGGCTAGCTGCCCCAGTGAAATCTTAAAGGAGACACATATTTGAACTTATGAAATAGTTTTGGACAATGGCCAACAGCTGCTACTACTACTACTTTCTTCACCATTGCTTTTTTTTTTAAAGATGAATTCCAAACTCCTAAATATTTTCATTTTGTTCTTTCCTTTAATAACAGTAAATAGGCAATTGATAAGATGCAGAAATAAATTCTGAGAGTAGCATGTGACTAACACCTGGTATACTCTCACTTGTGAGATATTAACAAATTTTTTTTTTAATCAGTTCTGGTTTCTCAGGGTCTATTTAACACTGGAGTACTGACTGGTATCTACTATTCATGAAATCTTTGTAGGCCCTCTAATGGTAGGAAAGGTGTAATTCTTTTCAAAGCCATTCTTTTTAAGGATAGTTTTACTCACACGTAAATGGCAGGCATATTTCCATAAATGCCAAATGAGTTTTGTAATTAGGCAACGTAAGATCTAACATAAAGATACATTAAGATAGTTCTGTTTACTGAATATTCTGAGAGTGGTTCTTTTAATTAATGGCGCAAACACCCCCAAATTCCCTAGAAAAAAGAAAGAACAAATGTTTTTAGGGAAAAGGTACCCAGTCATAAATCCAACTTTATAAATTTTAATTTTGGGAAATCCAGAAATAACAACTGTCAGATCTCTTCTAATATCTAATACCCAGGCACACACAGAGAAAGAATGCTCTCAGCTTGCAGTTCATGAAACCCCACTGATCCTTGGTACCCTTAAGACCTTTGCCTTGGAGAATGGATCTATAACAACACCAGATGTCCAATACAGGTCCACACAATTCCAAGAGAAAATCCCCAACAGGTGGGATTCTCTTTTTGCACTGCCTAAGCTAAGGTGAACTCATTCAATGTCCCCCAAATTGGCTCACATAGTAAGGGAAAGAGCCAAGATGTTTGGAGCACCTTTCATCCATATATGCTGAAAAATACTTGCTATATTCTTAAGGAATCACATAGGAGAAGAGGTGATTTGGGAAAACATTTCCTCCTCCCAACTTCTGTCCTTTGTAGTATTCTCCTAGCCATATTTGGATGTGGTATACAAGGAGAATATCCTGCTCATTTCAAATATCCAGTCACGGTATAAACAGCTATGTGTTTGTTTTGAGTGTGTGTGTGTGTGTGTGTGTGTGTGTGTGTGTGTTTCCTTTGTGACTATTAAGATTTAATTCTAGCCTTTGTTCCTTTTAAACATTTTATTTAGAAGCTATAGTCCAATATAATGCAAATCTTAAAACTACTTAAAGGCAAGGACCTTTTGCATTGTTAAAGAAGGGACATAATTTCTTGCCTGTGACATCAGCTGCCATCAGCCCTTCTGCTCTGATGACTTTCACCTGGAGAAATCCTACATCCTTTACATTGTGAAACATCCTCATTGGACTCTGAAAGACAACATTGTTGTTGTTATTATCATTGTCATTATCATCATCATCACTGTTATTATTGGATAAAAAGGTCCAGAAGGGGACTCTACTGATAAGAGCTTGCAAACTTTAACAGACTCTGAAAATAACTGAAATGATTGGGAAGGACATTTGTGTTATTCAACACATACCAATCTTTTACCAAAATAAAAGGGGGGAAATGTATGTAGTATATATTGGTAAAATTAGGATAAAATTTTAAAAATTTACTTAGAATGTAATAAACAAACAGCTATCTAGAAAGCTAGAATAGTAATGTATTTCCCATTCTTTTTTTTTCCATGTCACCCACCAATACAAGCCCTGATAGCCTTTTTTTTAAAAGGAGCTACAGTTTTGAGGGACATAATATTGATATTGGGCTTTAGCTGATAATTCATATAGATCTTTGAGCTTTGTGGATGAAAGGAAAAACACCAATGCCAAATTATTGCCTTTATTATTCTCTCTTTTGGTGAGCAATAAAAAATATGATGTGCTATATACAACAATAAATTTAGCTTTTTTTCCCATAAGAAATTAACTGGCAAAATGATCTTGCTAAAAGCTAAAGATTAATCCAGGAGCAAACTGTGGGAATCTTATTTAAAATAATCTTATATAACTTATTAACATGGCTTAAGTTTCATTTGCCTAATACATTCAAAACATCATCAATGCAAAATATCTTAAATTTATTTGATTTTAAATCTGTAATTCAAATAATGAAAAAACAAGAAATCCACACTCACAAAAAAGTTACTAAAAAATTGTTCCAACCTATCATTTGTTGCAAATAACAAAAAAGAATTCTGGAGATTTGAAAAATTAATTGCTATCCTTGATTATAAGAATACTTATTCAAGAATTTAGGAATCTTATTGATGGATATAAATGCTAAGGCAATAAATTCTTCAAATATAAAACTTCAAATACGCATTTATTTACTTATTTGAATTACATGATAGCTTTCCTCTGAAAAACTTAGTGATTTCCACTCAACAAATCAAATATGCATCTTTATCAAATCTTCAAAATATTTTATGACCCAAGAAAGTAATATGTTTTTGCATGATAAAGTTATCTATTAAAATGTTACCAATGAAAAGAGCATTGCCATCATTTTTATTAATATTGTGAGAATAGTGACAAAGCACACTCTGATATTAACTTTATAAGTCCCATCTGACTAGTCATTGCTTACAGTAAAGCTATGACCTTGGTAGAGTGAGATGAGGAAATATAGTTACATGTAATCTCATAACCTTACTTTAAAAAAAGTGTTTATCACAAGGATTAACTTTTAATCCCTTTTAAAAGCATTAGTTTATCATCAGAAATCTGTTTAATCTACACATGACAGAGCTCAGTGATAATACATTTCACCCTCTGTTTACATGCTTGCAATTTGAAAGTTGGGGGGTGGCAATTACAGAGACTGTACCATACTGTTGCACAGTGTTATAAAACAAATCTTAAGTAGAGAGGCTAGAGGGGAGAAGAATGGATTTATCAAAAGGTTATAGGAGCTATTTAAACCCAGTTTCATTGTAGCTAAAACAAATTGGCCTAGTCCTTAAGTCTTAGAATTATTTTCAGTGTGGGTAGCTCATTCCACAGACAGATTGCATTCTGATGCTTCAGTCCTGATACTCTTCTTCCTGTATTGCCAGGGTAATTATTGTTTGAAGCTTTCATTTCCTCAAATCAGCTGATTTTGAGCAATTTATTGCAAATTTCGACAGCTTAGTCCCAGGACATATGATATTACAGTAGGAGCTCTAAAGAGCAAATAACTTAAATATGTGAGCTTAAACATATAACTTTAAGTAATGATTTATCAGAAGATATTCCTGTCTTGTTATTTATGATTATTGTTGAAGGCCTCAAAACCTGGATGGCTTCTGAAGCCTGAAATTTCCATAGCAGAGGAATCTATGATTTGCTGTGAATCCTTTCAGCCCTCAATAGATGGGAAAAGATTGAAATGCTCTGGAGATGAGGCCTCTTTATTTTTTTAATGAAAGGCTGTATAATATATTTTCTGTATGGCTGCAGCAGCTGTCAGGAAGAGCATCTCAGTTCAGCTCTATTATGGGAGAAGCAATACCCCATCCTATGGCATCGAGATCCACTGAGGGGCCAGGACTGATTGACAGCTTGTCACCGTGACGTCTTATTCCATCTCTGTTATGGAGAAAATTAATGTCACACCACCCGCCTTATGACTCGCTGTCATCTTCGAACCGCTCACCTTTTATCAATGCTCTAAATAACATTTCAAGCCCATCGTCTCACTGTGGACAATCCGGTCAAGGGACATTAAATCGGATGACTGTGAAATGTCATAATAAAAATGGAATGCTAACAACTTCTTCTCTAAACTAGCTTCTCTGGTTTTTAAATGGTGACAAGGGGGAGCAAGGGTTCAGCACACCCGTTCTGAAAAGGTCATACAATCTCTCTTGGTCTGCTACCCAGTACTACTCTCCCCCTAACTGCTACCCATAAAAAAAAGAAAGAAAAGAAGAAAAGGAAAAAAAGGAAAAATGTGGGGGGAAAAAGAACTAGCAGTCTTTTTTCAGACTGGGGTGCTCAAATAATATTTCGCACCATAATGTCTATTTAATTTGTAATTTCAGCTACAAATGATTAAATGACTGCAATGGAGTCATTCTTCAGAACTGTTTGATAAGAGAGTGATGTCAGTTCATTTACTATCCTGAGCACAACAGGTGAGAAAAAGTTAACCTAGAAACTTATTAGTAAATGAAAAATATTTAGCTAACTGATTAAGCTTTCTAAGATAATCACCTCAATAATCACATAACAGCACATCATATCTCACTCGGGCATAGCAGGGCTCTTCCATTTCACAAAGACTGCAAGTTTAGAAATAAAATTGTTTGTATCCTCCTAATATACACAGATGATTTGGATTCTAGGAACTGTTAAGATTCACTACTCCTAGAAGTAACTTTCTCAAACAGCACATCTTAAGTTTCTCAGAAAACATTCACCCTTGCAGTAGAGTTATGAAAACATATTATTAACATAGTTTAAAATGTATATTCTGAGTAACATTTATTTATCTTACATTTTCACATGTTTTATATTTATATTTCACATAATGTTTAAATATTTAATTTTATATTTAATTAAGATGGAAAATATTTGATCATTTATATAGTATCAGAAATTACAGAAAGCATTCACATTATGAAGGAAAAGTGACCAGTTTAATAGAGCCTATTCAAGGGGAAAACACAGTAATAATAACTGCATTTATGCCTAAATTTCTCAGCTAGCTAAAATATGAATTCATCAAGTACAGCTTAATACTTAGTCCAAATTTTATGCTAGTATTAAAAAAATCCATTTGACTATTTATGAAGATCTTTCCATGGGAAAAGAAGAATCTATCTTGGTAGTACCCAAATTTGAAATAATTCTCATAATCATAATTATGTTTTCAAAAGATGGTGCACAATACTTTAACTCTGGATTGGTTTTTAAAAATACGATGTTTTGCCTTGCTAAGTCACCTCTATTAAATTGTGTTTATGATAACACTATTGGTGTGTGAGTTGTACAAGCATTAACAGACAGCTGATTCAGTGGAGATATCCAGAATAAATTTGCTGAAGCGCACATCCTGCTAATCTGTTTGAAGAATATTGTAGAGCATTAGTACCAGCACTTCATGTTATCTGCACAGCCTGATAAGGTACATCTTTATTAAATTCAGTTATTGAAAGGATGTCAGTCAACGAATAGGAATATTTTAAAATCTAAAAAAAAAATTAAGCAGTTCTTTGTTAGTTGGAGCTTGGTTTAATGGTTGAGTGTCTAGAGAAGCCTCCTAAACACCTGGCAGCATTGTACAATAAAAGCTTTGTAATTTTAAGTGGAAAAGCACCCTACCACCCCCATCCTTCAAGGGTAGTGAGACATTTACTTTTTAGTGCTTTCATTAACAATAAATGGTGGAGTAAGAGCTCCCCTCTCTGTTGCTGCAATAAAACTACATAATAGCTGGTCGACAGTGTGAGGATGCTGGGAAATAGAGCAATTTGGTTCAAAATATTTGGAATTGGGAAAATCTGATTCACATTACCATTTTGGGATTTGCTACACAAATTCATTCTTTTGCAAGCAATCAAAAGGTCAGAACTCTTCACATCTAATGAGCCACGCTTTACCACTGAGCAAAAGAGAGGGGTTTTTCCAGTCAGGTGAAAATGAAATTTAATACTGTGCACTAAGTTACCGTAACCTACCAGTGATCATAAGTGGCATTAAACTCCATTTCATTTGGTAAGAAAAATAGTTATTGGCAACTATAAGGAATACGTTCATTTTAAAAATAAAGTAATAAATTCATTCCTTAATGTTAATGAGAATCTTGTAAACTCACAGAATTAAAAACTGTAGAATTTGAGCTAAGACGCCTGAGAGATGACCAGTAATACAAAAGCAAATGATACATAACTGCTGATTCAGAAAGAATGAAGCCCTTGAATTCTCAGAGCTTTGTGTGTTTACTCATTCCTCAGACAGGACATATTCTCAGCAATGTTTCTGACATCACAGGTAAATTATTTACATTTTCTTCTAGTCATGTATGAACCTTGAAGAATGAGTACTATATCCATGAGGTGGATACCTACATATCTCTTTAATATCGCTTCTCGTTCCTTTTGGTCCTCCAAGGAGTTTACAGAGAGGTCAGATATGCTGACAGTGGCGGAGGCTGTCAGGGTGACCAGCAGCACCAGATGTCCTTCGCCCTCTTCCAGCTCTAGCTCCAGCTTGTGAGTCTGTTCTCTACTGAGGGCTGACAGGTCGATCTGGCACCTAGAAACAAACATTTTGAATCAGCCAAGTGGCTTTCTTCCTGAGATCAAACGGCAGCAGTGCAGGCCAATATGCTCAGAGTTATGGGGGAAAAAATCAGTGCAAATATTTTTTTTCTGGCCATTGTAAGAATTTATCTTTCTACTGAGCAATATCTCTTTCTAGCACTCACTCATCATAATACTCTATTATCCTTGAGTTTTCCCAGACAGAGAAAGGGTGAGCTTAATTGCTTCCCAATTTTAGGGTCCCCAGTTTCAAAGCTCACAATGACAGAAAGGAACATTGTGTTTGTGCGATTTGACCTAGAGAAAGACCGTAGAACTGAAACTGCAGTGAGAAGCCTAGCAGAGCAAATCGACAGGCATAAACTAAAGAGGAGTTAGCAAAACACCACAGTTAGAAAATGCCCATCTCCCTACTTCTATCCTTCCCCTAATATTCATTGAGCAGTGGATTGGAATCTACCTTATCATTGTGGAAAGTGCTTAAAATTTTAAAATGTCAATATATTCAAAGTAAACCATGTAAATCTAAATACAAATCAACTAAAACATATGTAAATGGTAGGATGCGATTATGCACAACACTTGTTTCCCAGCAGCTACATCCCGAAACACCCCCCCTTCTAGATGCCACTCTCACCTTGCAAACTCTTTTCATAAAAATGTCAATTGATTTTGAAGAGAAAGATAATGTGGTGACCGCAAGGCCAATAAAGTGAGAGGAAGGTGGCAAACATGAATAAATAGGCATTTAAAGACAGGAAATAGCCAATTACAAGAATAAATATGGTCCTATAAACTGAGTGTTAGGCTATCAGGAACAGATTAAATTCTTGCCTCCCCTCTTCCTCCTCCTCCTCCACTCTATCCCTCCCTATTCTCTATTGTTTAGCTGTTAAAATTAAACTGTGAATAGGGCTACAATGTTCCTGATGGTTCTCAGGTATTTGCTCTAGCAATTTCACACACATCTAAGTTTGACACTTGACTTATAGTCTGTATATTAAGTTAACAAGTAGTGACAGAAGGGACTTGGCAAAGATGGGAGTAGAAGAATAAAAGTGATGGTCAATGACAGAGATGTCTGTATACACTGGAGTCTCATGGTTAAGATGACAAGAACCTAGAACTTTTATATCAAGCAAAGATACACTGTACCTAAAACTGAAATGTCATATTGAATTACTATCCTTTCAAATGAAAGGCACATATTCACATATTGTCTCTTTCTCAAACTCCATTCACAACTGCCTACTAGACATTTACAATGTCCTCAGTTTTGTTTTGTCCTTTTTTTCTGTTTCTCTGGTTCTGCTAATGCACACTGAGTATTCTTGTCATCAACAGAGATCACACGCATGTCAAAATATCAACAGGCCAAACCATACTGCAGGACTTTGATCTTCTCATGAAGTGGGACTCTTCCAATATGGATACCTCTCTGAAGAGTTTTAATTGCTTAAAACTCATTTCATGAATAGTAGGACCACGTCTAACATGAGAGAGAACTGACCGGGAGACCTGACCAGATGATCCTATGCCAAGGGACACTCAGAGGCTCCTAGGTTTAATCAGAGAGCCTAAGTTTGAATTTTCTCTCTGATAAGCACTGAAACACTCAAGTGTATTAAACCTCTGGCCTCAGTTTCCTTATCTGTGAAATGGGGGTGGGGGAAGCAAAACAAATCACCTCTGAAGTTTTGGGACTCTTCCTTCACCCTGAGCATTCCGTAAGTCATGGATAGCTCAGACCTTCCGGGATATCAGTATCCTATTTATGATGTTCCCTGCATTCCAGATCAGGTATCATGAGTAGTATGCATAAATGGGAACCTGCATTTTTAAAAAACATTTTTTCCAATTACATGTAAAAACATTATTATTCATTTTTAAAAACTGAGTTCCAGATTTTCTTCCTCATTCACTCACTTCTCCCTTCACTGAGAGGGTAAACAATTTGATATAGGTTATACATGAACTGTCATGAAACACATATTTCCATATTAGTCAAGTTGCAAAAGAAAATACAGGACCCCCCCCAAGAAAAGAAAAGAAAAATAAAGATTTTTTAAAAGTGTGTTTTGCACTGCATCCAGCCTCCACCAGTTCTTTCTCAACTTTTGTAACCATAAGTCCTTCAGAATTGTCTTGGATCATTATATTACTGAGAATAGCTAGGTCATTCACAGTTGATATTTGTACAATATTGTTGTAATTGTGTACGGCGTTTTTCTGGTTCTGCTCACTTTACTTTGCATCAATTCATGTAAGTCTTTCCAGGAACTTGCATTCTTTTTTAAATTTCATTAATTTATTTTGATTTATCAACAATCACTTCCATATGCTTTTGAGTTTAAAATTTTTTCTCCCCCTTCCTCCCCACAACCCTCCCCAAGAGGGCGCACAATCTGATATAGGCTATTCATTTACATTCCTATTAAATATATTTTCACATTAGTGATGTTGTAAGTAAAAATTAAAACCAATAGGAGGAAACATCAGAAAGAGGAAACAAAACTCAACAGAAGAGGGAAAAAAAAGATGGTAATTCAACTTCCATAGTTCTTTCTTTGGATGTGGATAGCATTTTCCATCACAAGGCCTCTGGAGATGTCTTAGATCCTTGTATTGCTGAGAAGGGTTAAGTTTATCAATATAAGTCACCACACAATGTGGCTGTTATTCTGTACAGCGTTCTCTTGCTTCTGCTCACTTCACTCAGCATCAGACCATACAAGTCTTTCCAGGTTTTTCTGAAGTCAGCCTATTCATCATTTCTTATAGCACAATAGTACATTCACATCCCACAACTTGCTCAGCCATTCCCTAATTGACGGGCATCCTCTCCATTTCCAATTCTTTGCCACCACAAAAGGAACTTGCATTCTTAACACCTTTCAGTCAATTGTATTCCAATTGCTTTGGAATGTTATTTGTAAAATCTTCTTGATTCCCTTTAATATCTTCTTCATCATGAATCCCCTCAATATACATGTATATTAGCATCATAAAAATCATGTAAAGATAAGAAATAACACACATGGGTCAGTGGTTACTGTTATCCCAGTTGCCTTAGAAAATAAATTACCCTCATGATTTCCCCCCCAACCCTCTGGCATCTTCTTCTCCAGCAAAAATCTGTAGAATTGACTGTTCCATGATCTCAAAACTGTGCCACCTATAGTATGGACCTCCTTTGTGTATAGTTGATTATTGTGCAGCTCCTATTTTTCTTCAATGCTATTTCCACTTCTTCATGTAGCAAATAGGGGTACTGTAATGTTAGGGCTCAGAGATGGTGAAAAGAATTTGTTATGAAAACATGATATTTCCCCTTTTTTGGTTCTTTGTTGTACTTCTTCAGGTTTATCCTTATGTGTTCATGGGCTAACTATCTAATTACTTTTCTCACCGAACTTTTTATAGATTTGTCTCTCCACTGATTTTTGGGCTATTTCATGAGATTATAATGCTCATCATTTTCTACCATTATTTTCTATAAGATTATTCCAGATGAGTTTACATTATAAACTGGCATTTTCCTTGGCCATCATATCTCTTTATTTGGCAAGGTGACCAAATGTTTGCTGACTAGTTTCTGGTATCTTTTGCCATAAGTTTACATTATGGCAAATGATTTATACTATTAAAATTTCCTTTTGAAAATATGATAGTCTATATTTCTGTGCATTATTTTATCCATTTTCCATTTGTTGCAAACAACAGCTTGCTTAAAGGTATGATGTATTTTCTCATTCTTATTCTTTTTTTTTCCCACTTGGTATGGATTTTGAAACAACCTGTAACAAGTAGGGAGTGTGACAGTATATAGCTTATTCAAAAATGACACCCATATTGGTAACTAAGTATTTCATGTTAAAATATATTTGTTCTTTTTTGTGATCGTATTTGGTGCACATTATGTCCACGTCTCCTAACAATGTTACCTCTCTACTCAATAAATTCTAGTAGCTCCCTATTATTTATAGGATCAAATATAAACTATTCTGTTTAGCATTTAAATCTCTTCATAACCTTGCCTCTTCCACACCTCCTGGTCTTCTTACACATTACTTTTTTCCACGTACTCTATGGTTCAGCCATACTGGCCCTTCTGCTGTTCTTCACACATCTTACTCCAGCTCTCATCTTCTTGCTTTTGCAATGGCTGCTTGCCATGGCTGAAATGCTCTCTATTCCCTATCCCCATCCTTACTGCTTCTTGGAATCCCTAGTTTCCTATACGATTCAGCTCAAGTACCACCTTCTTTATGAAGCCTTTTCTGATTCCCTACCTGAGCTACCAATGCCCCCTCTTTTTAAATTCCTTTGTGTTCACTTCTTATACACTTTTTTGTACATGCTGTCTCTCTCATTAGAATGTAAGCTTCTAGAGGGTAGGAAACAGTTCACTTTTGTCTTTGTATCCCCAAATGCTTACCACAGTCCCTGGCACATAATAGGTGATTAATAAATGCTTGTTGATTAGTTGATTCTTAAGGCATTCGTAGTATATAGGTACACAGTTTAAAGTCTTAAGACTCTTTACTTTCTACCTTGGGAACAATATGTTCCAATATCCTTCTTTGCTATACCTACCTTTCCATGAAGTCATTTAGCATTCAAATATCTGATAATTCAATTTGTAGATTCTCATTACATTTTTCATAGTATTTCTATACTTCACAGAAATACCATTAAGAATACCTCAGAAAAATATAAGCTGTTATTTTCTTATTGTCATCTTAATAGTAAAATTTCATGTTTTGGACAAAATAGTTCATCACTCTCAAAACAAACTGAATTGAATTTGGAAGATATCAAGCCATCTAGTTCCAATCTGAGGTGGTTATAAAAATGGACCTATGTAAAGTGTTCACTAATATGAACTGAATATAACAAGGGAAAGCTATATGATGCGATGGTAAAGAGTTGGACAGGAATCAGGAAACCTGGATCTACTGCTAACTAGCTTCATGACCTTAAGCAATCATT